CTGGCACACACACTGTATCTTTTTCTACAGCGCACGGTCTCTGCTGGACGTAGTCTTTGCTGAGGCCTTGTAATGACCGGTTCATACAGAGACCACAGCACACAGAGACCGAGTCCAACTGCGACCGAGTCTGTCACATACAGTGCACAGCAGAGACAGGTTCTGGCAGGGATCGGGTGCGCGAAATTAAAAAAAACGCTGCAAATTGTCCAAGAAGCGCACAAAACTAAAATATTTTTAAAATTTCATCTTCAAAAAATTTTCAAATTTTTCGAAAAATGTTTGTTTTGTGCGCTTTTTACATATTTTCCAGCACTTTTTGATTTTTCATTTTTTTAAAAAAAAATTACATTTTTCTTCGAAATTCTCCCTTCCCGACATAAACACAAACGGTCTCTGCGGGACTACTTGTGACTAACACCGTCTTACATGGAATCGATCTCTGCCAAACCCGGTCTCTGCTGAACACGGTCTCTGACAGCCTCTGCTTCAACCGGTTTCTGACTCACTCTTGCTGTACCTTGCACGGTTTCCGCCAGACGCGGTCTTTGCAGACTCCCAATTTTAGAAAAATCAAAAAATGCTAGAAATTGTCCAAAAAGCTCACAAAGCTGGTTCTCTGCCTCACAAGGTCTCGTCTGAAGTCGGCCTCTCCCTCACCCGGACTCTGATGGACGTCTATGTAGAGATCGGGTCATACAGAGACCGAGTCCGGCATAACGGGCCCGTCAGATATACGAGGGTGAGTCAAATGAAAACCGTAATTTTTTTTAAATTTAATTTATTGAGTGAAAGCGATACACAACTACATCATTTTTCTACACAGTCTCCATTTCGTTCAATACAGGCCCTCCAGCGTTTACGAAGTGTATGGATTCCTCTAGAAAAAAATTCTTGTGGTTGTCTGCGCAATCACTCATCCTCCGCCTGCTGTACCTCTTCATCAGAACGGAACTTCTTTCCTCCCATCGCCTCTTTGAGTGGCCCAAACATGTGGTAATCACTTGGGGCTAGGTCTAGTGAGTATGGCGGATGTGGAAGACACTCAAAGTGCAAGTCTTGGATTGTTGTAACTGTTGCACCGGCAGTGTGGGGCCGAGCATTGTCATGTTGCAAAAGGACACCTCAAGTCAAAAGTCCATGTCGCTTTGATCTGACTGCAGGTCGAAGATGATTCTTCAAGATTCTTCACTGATCAAAAAACGAATTACAGAAAGTTGTTCTTCTTTCGTACATGTAACTAGTGGAGCAGCTATCTTCAAACTGGCACTGTGATGGCGTTCTGTTTGTCTGCACTATACTGTCACCTATAGGATACTCTTTATAGCATTGGTAACATGTCTGCCAACTTATAGGACAATGGCGCGATATTTCGAATTTTTATCTCAGTTTTACGGTTTTCATTTGACTCACCCTCGTACTACTGCGGAAACCGGGTGCGGCAGAGACCAAGTCCGGTAGAGGCCGGATCGTGCAGACACCGTGTCCGTCAGAGAGAGTGTTCTGAGGAGACCGCATTCGGCAGGCTTCGGGTGGAGGGAATTTTGTTGAAATTTACAAATTAGTCAACATTTTCGAAAAATCAAAATATGCCGGAAATTGTCCAAAGAGCGCTCAAAACTAAGAAAATTTGAAAAATTTCGACATCAAGAAAATTTCAAAAATTTCGAAGATTTTTGGATTTTTGCACTTTATATACAATTTTCAGCATTTTCGTGCAGAGACCGAGTCTGGCAGAGAGCGGGTCCGTCAGAGACAGGGTACTGCAGAGACCGGGTACGGAAGGGATCGGGTGGGGAGAATTTTGAAAAAAAAATTCAAAATACATGCCGGAATAAGTTTAATATTAGCCAACAGTGACGGCTTGACTCCAATTATTAATGCTTCTCATCGCAACGTGCGACAACGTTATGAAATTGAACAGTGTTGACACCTAAAGACTGCAAGGTACGTCATGAATGAGGAGAAAAGCACAGATTATAATAATTCACGTGCTATTTAAATTGCAGCAATCACACCAATATTTCTTTAGAGAATGTATCAAAATTAATGGACCAATCAAACAAGACTCGCAAACGGAAGATACGAGGACCGTAGTATGAAGATAAACGTAAAACAATAAACCCAATTAAAATATACTTAAACAAATATATATTACACAAATAAGTTACAGAAAGTATGTATTCTCCACCAAATATCAGCAAGGTAACTAAATAAAAGAAGGTAAGATAGCGAGATATTAGATGGGAAATCTGATGGAAACAGACTGCCTAGGTAGGCGTAGATAGCCGTATAATATTAAAATGGATCTTAAAGGTTAAAGTTATGAGAAAGTGGACTGGATTCATCTAGCTCGGGATACCTTAGGGTTCCATGAAAGGTCGGAAATTTCTTTACCAGCAGAAGCAGAACCAGTTCTGTTCCATGCAGTTCGTCCGCACCAAAGTAAAGTCCGTCACTAGAACGACACTTCTCTGTGTATAAATGCCGAAACCTGAATCACTGTGACGTCATGGACGTGGCGTCAGAAAGAACAGAGGAAGTCTATCTAGGGCGAATTTCCATACACGTATCACAACCTTCCAGCGAAGGCCATTGCAGTCCTTTCCTTATTCACTCACTTCCGCAAGAACAGCGGAGGGTCAAGGACAAACAGTAACTTACAGTATTGTGGATGATGATGATCATCATCATCCTCATCTCCAACCACTGATCTTTTCCGATCCTACCTTCATGTGAAATAATCTTTCTCTTTTGAGAACGTCCCCTTGCCTTCAATGAAGTTTATAGTCTAGTATTCTCTGTAGAATTTGCTCTGTTGTAATTCTTGCCACGTGCCCTCAGTCTTTTATTCCCTGTGTTTAAGCTTAGATTTTTTTTGTTCCTGCCTCGTATCCTCGTTTATTTTCGTATCTATTCAGCAGTAACCCGCATCTCTTTTGATTCCACTCTTTAAAGCCGGTGTTGCTATAAAGTCCACAATTGCCTGCAGTACAGAAGATATTGCACGCCAGTACCTGCTTTCTAAAATTTAATCAGTGTTTTTTTCTGTTTTGTTGTCCAATGTAAACTATTCAATCCATTACATTGATTCTTGAATCTAAACTTTGGACGGACAAAATAAGAAGTTAATTTTTTATAAAAATCTTAACAAAGGCTGTTTATTTTTGGAAAGAACTATATACATTAATTTTCCACAAGCTCGGACATTTTAACCCTGATCGGTTGTCGCACAGCGCAGCCGTGAAGCAGAATTGGGAAATGGGTCATCTCGGGAGGAGCAGTCGACTTTTCCACTCGCTAATTTACTGCAGTTAGTAGCTAATGGACAGCCTTTGACCCCTTGAGAGAGAGCTTGTGTTGTCCGATACAGGTGTGGCTCGTTTAAAGCGTTTGCGTTTTAACACGATTTTCATAACTCGGACGAGGACAAAGATGGTTCTCGAGACGTTGGTGTTTTCTCCATTAAAACAACTTACACGGCTGGTACCTTGAGAAGAATTCATTATACCTAATCGCCGCGAAAGCTTCAGATCATGTATAGTGAAGAGTTTTGCAGTTTGTACTCTTCACCAAATGTAATTAAATTGATAAAATAAAGGAGGATGCGATTCGAAGGAAACTGTGAAAGGAAGAGACCACTTGGACGACACAGTCGTCGATGAGAAAAAATTAAAGCAAATCGTAAATAAATATGGCGGTAAGGTGTGAGGTGGATTTGGGTCAGGAAAAGGTTGAGAAGTGGGGCCATATAGGGTTCTATTAACTAGCTGATCTACTATGAGCTTCTCACTCTAGTCTCCGGTCTATGAAGTCAGTGGCAAGTTACCTCACAAAGCCTGCAGCGTTGTTGTAAAGGATACGATTAATATCATATTTAGGACTTAATTTCAAATGACTTAAAATAACTAAGACATTCAATATTTTACGCAGAGTGCCAAGTTATGCCACTGACGTCAAGAAATGTTTTATTTATAGCAACATTTTTCGGTGTTGTTCTTGTGGGCTGTGACGCCATTTCGACTTGCAGGTAGATACCAACGTTTCGGGGAAACGAGATGTCCCTATCTTCAGGGCACACGAACTCCCCCGTTTTACGTTGAGGCAAATTACGATAGACCTCCAGGCGTCGAGAACTTGATAATATGAGCTCGGTTTGCGGAAGCGTATTGACACAGTTTACTCACGAATCATTTGTTTCTCTTCTGACCGAGAGAAGGGGCGAAGATATTTACACAAGACTGCCTCAAATAATTAACTAACAACTGACAATTTAATGAAATGAAAGTTCATTGTGGGAAGAGAGAGTGCAGTGGATGGGAGAATAATAATACACTTTCGCTATCATGAATGGCATGCCGGAAGGAAGAGAGTTATTGCGTCATGCCCTGTAAAAGTCCAGCTAACCATGGAGTTGCCTAATGCCCTGACTTCCATGTCACTCATGTGAGCTGTAGGATACACGGAGTTTTCACACAAAATATTCTATTAATTTAGAAATGCAGCTCCTCTAAATACGACGCATGAAAGAAGTTACTTAAACATTTAAGAAAGTTTTTTATGGTGGCAACAACCAACAGAACAACGTTCTAGTTGCAATTACTGATTAAAAACGACCTCAGACTGAGGGACAAATGACAGCAGAAGGAAAGGTGGAGAAAGGTACACATATTTACCACATACGTCAAGACAGTCCAGGTTCTCGAGGCGGCGAGTATGAAGGTGACTGTCTTCTGCGATGTTGCACCGTGTAGCTTCGTAGAAATTAAAAATTCCTCCATCATCAGGTGGATTTCTATGACACTACATGGTGCAACGTCCTTAAAGACAATCATCATCTTACAAACACGTTCTTTCTGATTTTACATTCTTCATTAGCCCTGATGCTTATTTATTGCCTATTCAAATCTTTTATCCGCACAATTTCATTTATAATTACGCTAATTGTTCTTCATATCACTGAACGTGTCATCTGACTTAATCTCTCTGAAATAAGTTCAACTTCTTTGTGTAAACAATACTCTTTATTTACCGTTTCCTAACCATATCTTATCGATATTCAATGGCTTAGTGACTTACTACAATCTTCAAAGCATATTATAAATATAAACGTACTGATTCGCATTAACTTTCAATACATTTTCAGTTAAACTTACTTCAGTTATGAATGCCAATTAGGCTATTATTAATTGTCATTCAATGAATGGTGCAAAAGTCTCTATTATGATCTGCGATAATGTATATTATCTGCTGTTCTATTACCCTACAGACACAATTTTGCGAGGTTATACAAATAACCCAGTTTATAATAATTATTCTTACTTTCAGCTACTTAAATACGAGGCTCGTCCACAAAGTAAGTTTCCCTGGGGCCGTTTACAGAAACAAAACACAATTTCATGGAAATATTTATTGCAACAGATACAGCAAGTGTCCAGCTATTTTTCAACATATTCGCCACCAGAATTGAGACATTGGTCATACCGTGGGACCAACTTTTTGCTTGCTCATGACGTTAGGCCCATAGACCCGGCACAGCTGACGATGAATTTCGATCGGCGCTATGCTCTGTGCATTCAAAAACTTTATCACTGACCGCACTTCACAGTCGGCGGGAGCTGGAATAAGAACCTCCATCTTCAACAGCTGCAACGATGCTACTGTGAGAACGCGGGAAGTACCGTTAGTGCATGCGCCATGCTACGTCATTGCTCTATCACGTACGCACAGTCGCTTCGCTCAATATAAGGTTTGCTAGCTGTGGGACGAGTGGGAAACTTACTTTTGGGACGCGCCTCGTATTTACTGCATCAAAAAGTGTCGCATGTAATGATTCCAGAATTTAATGATTTCTATATATTGTTGGCATGCACAGTGTTTTTGGACAATTGATAAAATTCGATTTGAGCTTTGCGTAAAATAGGTTATTATATTTCACCAACACGAATCAAAATAAAAAGCTACCAATAGCTTTTACTGTGGACAAATAAATTTGATCGAAATCCGTCGAGTAGTTCACAAGATAGTAAATGTGAACACGTGGATCCCATCTCCCCATTATGCGTAGGTGCAAGAGAACGTGTAAATCGAAGAAGCGAGTGACCAACGAGAAGTATTGAGGAGAGTCAACGAGCAAAGAAACATTCTGCAGGCCATTACACGAAGGAAAGCTAACTGGCTGGGACATATTATGAGAAGGAATGGATTACTGAGTGATATCGTCGAAGGCCAGGTTGAAGGAAAGCGAGAACTGGGAAGAAGACGGATACAGATAACCGACGATCTTAAACAAGGAAAGAAGATTCAGGATTTAAAACGAGAAGCTGAGAATAGGGAAAACTGGCGAACTCTTTTTGGGAAGAATAATGGACCTGTCGTCAGACAGAACACTGAATAATGATAATAAATAGTTATGGAACGCTAAAGAGGGCTTAATACATCATTTCTTCAAACGGGAAGATACTAATTTCAGTATTT